CTTTCCAATCTGAAATTATCTGGCTTCAGCTTTCAGTTATTAACTCTCAATGAGCTGTATCCACTAGACCAGGGATGGGCATTAATTTTTGATGGGAGGCCACTCCAAGATTTTGGAAGGTGCTTGAGGCCTGCACTCTTCCATGATATTGATGGAGGAAATACAGGGTCTTGGATGGACGTTGGGTGCATAAAGGAGCTCAGGGTAAGGGATTGGGGTGCAGGAGAGAGAGAGAGAGAGAGAGAGAGGTAGGTCTGGGAGAGAATTTGGGTGAAGAAGGCAATTGTGACCTGGGGCACTGGACTGGCCAACTACTTGTTAGATTATTTAAAGTAACTTTCATTTAGAGAAGTGGATGAGCGGACAAACAAGGAACTGCGGGTTTCTGACCACTGAGAACTCTTGCATATATGGATACAGGAGGAGGGAAGAGAGAGGATTATTCTAGTAGGAGGGGTGGGTGAGATTTTGTGGCCTGCACTATGCAGGGGGTCAGACTAGATGATCATAATGGTCCCTTCTGACCTTAAAGTCTATGAGTCTATGAAGAGGGTTTGGGTATATCGAACGGGGGGCAGAGGGTTGGGATTCCAGAGGCAAGCTCTGTCCAGGAAACTTAACTGAGCGACTCTGAGCCACCAGCCAACCACATTTCTCAAGCATGCAAGGAGCCTGCCCCACCCTCGCACAGGCTGCAGGGCTATGTGCACGTGTGAATAACTATGAGCCCGAGGAGAGGAGGACATGGTGCTTTGTTTCTGCTCAGAAACCAGTCAACAGGATCGTGCTGGGGCGGTAGCAGCACCTGAAGCCTCCCCTCCGGGCTCAGTTTTTAAAGAGAAATGGCCCAGCATTCGCTTGAGCTGTGCGCAGAAGGGACACAGCAAGCAGGGAGACTGCCTGGAGCTAACGCAGCATTGGTGGGTCATGGCCATATTTTGCCCAAAGCTCTTGGGGATCCAAGAGTTTCTCTCCATAAACAGACTGACACAGTGGAAGCCTGTCAGCTCTCAGCCTGTTTATTATTTGAAACCAACCCCATATTGAAACTGACTGAATAGTGAAATCTGAGACTGAAGGTGCTGTATGTTGTGTGCTTTAACTACACATCTTTAGCATCATAGTCCAGTGAAGATGTTTTTACAGGAATTTTCTCATCATTTAAAGACAATCTCCACCTGCAAACTCACCCTGTCTGAAAGCTCCCAGGGATTTTCCTCTTGCTCTCTCCAGTGCAGAGGGCAGAGTATCTGGTGAGGGAAGGGATAAGAGAGGTGAGATTCCAAGTTCTCATATTTATAACAATGTCACCAGAGTATCAAAGACCAGACAGAGACACACACAAGTGTTTAATATGAAAAGGTCTGAAATCTTCTGTTTCCTCTCTCACTCAGGCTCTCTGCAAAGAAACCAACATGCCTGCAGCCTCATACCCATCCGAAGAGAGACAAGCTGTGAGTGAGATTTACTTTTCCCTCCTCATCCCTTCCCACTTTGTTTTCTGCCTCGTCATAACCTAGACCTTTCCAGGAGAAAGACGTTGCCATGAAAGTAACTTTACCCACTTTGATCCCTTTGACACTAGTGGGAGGTTCAGAGTTTGCAAACTCCTGACTATTTGCAAACAATTGGGTCTGTGCACTCAGGCTCTAAGGAGAGCAGCATGATGGGGCCGTCATTCTCCACATGGGAAGTGAGGCAGGGGAAGGTTGACTTCATACACAAGCAGTTGGGTCTGTTCACTCAGGGTAGGTCTAGACTCTGTTGCCGCATCTTTAAAAGTGCCCACTATTTTCCAAAATAGCAGGCACACTATTCTGGTATCCCTATACCCCTCTTTCCATAAGCGTTAAGGGATTTGTCGGAATAGTGTCTTATTTGAAATTTGGCGCAGTCTACACAACGCCAAATTTCAAAATAAGCTCTTTTGACTTTTGCCAGAATAAGGTAGGAAATTTGCACAGGTTATTCTGACAGAAGGGTGCTACACATACCCTCAATGTCACTAAAGAGAGCAGCATGATGGGGCTCATCATTCTCCATGTGGGAATCAAGGCAGGGGAAGGTTGGCTTCATAGGCTAGATTCAATAGTCTGAGATACTTAAAACACTTTCCCAATCTTCAATCCCTTCTAGGTACCTTTGAACTCCCTCAGAGTCTCCGACAGTGCAGATGTTTTCTGGGTGAAACTGCTGACTACTTCTTCCAGTTCAAGAGACATCTCCTCTGGCGGCTGGAATTGCCCCTTCTCACACCTGGACAGAAACAATTTAATATGACTGTATTTCATTTACTGATAAGTTCTGTGTAGGGAGCCTGGATGGCCCTCCCTTGTCATGTCTGCATTGCTAGGCCTTGTCCAAAGTATGGCTCTCTAACAAAGCCACCCCTAGGCCTGATTCAAGTCTGATGCACGCACGTGCGCATGCACACAGACCAGGCCAAAACAGGTGGGGAAGAGTCAGGAGTGCTTGCCCAATCATGCATAATGTGTAAAGGACAGCGAGACCAGGCCAAGATGACCAGAAACAGCCTGGTTCTAGTACACTCCATTTGTTATAAGAAAAAAGGTCCAGAAATAGCCAAAAAAACCTATTAAGCGCTTTTGCAATATTTTGGCACATCAAAACCTATCCTAGATATTGGCATAATGGATATCTTACGCAAAATGTAGTTGATTGGTAGATATTATTAGAATGACCAAGTCTCGCTTTGCTATAAATTGGGTTTAATAAGAACAATTAGTGGGAGGGAATAAGCAGGATTGACTCTCAGGTCCTCCTTCTGATGTAACTAGAAGGAATGGACCCCTTCATACCAATGGCCCCAGTGCATGTCATTCCTACGTGTGGGAATCAACGGAACCACGACCTCCTGCCTGGTACTGTAGGTAGCATACGGGTGAAGTGTAAGTGAACTAGGCTTAATTATTGTATTATAATAATCTTCTATTACTTCCTTTTGCATTGCTTTGCACTGTATCCATTGCTTTACATTTTAAAGCTTAAATATTTTAAATTGTATAGTAATTGTTTTTAAGGCTTGTAAAACAGCCAACTATGTTAACTGCTTGAAGCTGGTAATAAATAAGTAAGTGGTTAAGTCTCTCTGGAGTGTCCTGGTTTCCCTTGGATCTAAAAACCAAACCACACAACATTCTGGCTAGTTAGTCTCAGTTCTAACAAACCTGGAGTTAGAATTCCCCCAATTCTCCCTGCCTCAGAACAGGGGCAACACAGCCCATGATTGTACAACGTTCACCTGAAAAGTCTCATTAGTGTTCTTCATCTCTGGCCTGGAGAGACCAGCTGGGGAACAAAAGGGGAATTGAGTCTCCATGGCCAACTCGCTCCTTGGCTTCCAGGCTCTGAGGGACAGGAGATTCCAAGGTGAAGTGCTGTAGAAATCTGCCCATTAGGAACTAGAGAGGGGTGGGCAATAATTTTTGATGGGGGGAGGCACTCCCATGATTTTGGAAAGTGGTTGAGGGCTGCCCTCTTCCACAGTATTAATGAAGGAGGTGCAGGGTCTGGGATGGAGGCTGGTGCAGAAGGGAGCTTGAAGTAAAGGACTGGGGTGCAGGAGGGAGAATGGAGTCTGGGAAGGAGTTTTGGCAAAGGAGGTAGTTGTGAACTAAGGCAGGAAACTGGGATGCAGGGTTTAGGGATGTGACCTAGGGTAAGAGAGAATTGTGAACTCAGGTAGGAGACTGGAGTGCCAGATATGGTAGGGGTAGAGCAGGGCAAGAATGTGGGGCTGGGGAAGGGAGGGGCTGAGGTGCCAGAGGCACATTCTCATCAGGAGACTTACCAGCCTGCCTGCAGAGCTAAAGGCTTGCAGAGCTTAAAATGTTTCTGCCTGCTGGGCAATGTACTTGAGTGAGCGAGCAGGAGGATTGTACTTTGTGGCTGCCTATTATTCAAACAGGCAACTCCTGTTGGCCAATGTCTGTCCAGAAAGTGCCCAAGGGGATTGTGCTGGGGGCGGGAGCAGCGTCTGATTCTTCTCCCTTCCAGACTTAAAGAGGAAGTGCCCTGAAGCTCTGTTTCTGAGTGGTATGTGAGGCAAGCAGGGGGCCTACCTGGAGCTCCCCACTGCCTCTGTGGGCCAAATCCAGTGGCTTGGTGGGCCAGATCTGGTTTGTGGGTGGTATTTTGCCCAGGCCTGAACTAAACTGAGACAGCAGCTCCCCCTTCCCCAGCTCATTCCACACAAGTCTCCAAACAGTCCTTTGATGGGAAACTCTTTTGATCCCTGCTGCCCTGGGCTGAATGGTGCTCAGTGTCCAGCAGTGACAGTCCCATGTTCCATCCTCACAGTCCTGAGGCAGCCAGGAAGTGACATTTCTAGTAAACACTTGAGGTCAGACTGTGCCTCTGAATGGAAAATTCCAGAGTCTGCTGTGCAAGATGAGACCCTCAGAGTTAAATGACTCAGAGATTTGTATCCAACATCTGGCTGTAGAGCCCTGGGGAGATGTGGTGCCAACATCAGCTCCAAGCTCTTTCCCAGCGCTGTACAGTATGACAGGAGTGCGAGCCACCTACCTGCTCAATCTGTTTCTGACACCCTAGAGAAAAGAGACAGAAAAGAATCTCAGCTGCACTGGACACATACAAGGAAGGCATTTTGCAAATATGAGGAAAACACGCCCTGGCCTGGCCCCAGGGCCATAGATTTTGTGGGGAAAATCAAATAACTCCAATTGTGTCTAAGGGGGGACTGTGCAGAAATCAAAACTCTCTAAAAGAAAACTGCTGTAAGGGTTAAGTTTTCCAGACCTCTCTCCCTGTATCGGAGTGAAATCAAATTAACTCTAATCAAAGACCCTTACAAATGCCTCTCTCAAATTCATGGATACTCCTAGTCTGTCACAAATTATCATGTATACTCTTATCTTTGTCACAGTTTGCCTTGTAAGACTACTCACTCCACATTCTTATGTGCCTTTGTTTTGTAAAACTTACTTCTAGCACTCCTGGGGTGAACAGAAGTCTCAGAGTGCTTCTGCTGAGACTTTGATATGTTAAAGAAAAACAATCCACAACTGAACTGTCTAA